AGAGAAGCCGTGGCTGCCTCTGGATCCCTGGAAGTGTCCAAGGCCAGGTTGGACAGGGTTTGGAGCAACCTGGGCTAGTGGCAGGGGTCCCTGCCCATGGCAAGGGGGGTCACTGGATGATCTTTAAGCTCCCTTCCAACCCAAACCATTCCATGATTCTAATCCTGAGCTGGGCCTGATTCCAAGTCCCTCTGGCCTGACTGGGCCATCCAGTGGCCCATCCAATCCTAATTCCTGTGTCCCAGGCTGTGCCGTACCGGCCACGCGTTTTCTGTGGGATCTGTTGGAGAACAGCAGTCATTAAGAAGCAGACTGAGAGGTGGGAGTGAAGTGCAAAGCTTTGTGGTGCCCCTGTTCATTGATTGTCTGGGCATGTTTCTCTCAGGTGTTTGAAGTCCTGAGGGCTGCTGAGCTCACACCTTTCCATCTCATCTGCTCCCGGTTTGATCCGTTGGCCTCCAGCCGCCTCCTGAGCAGTCTGGGTGATTCATCAGCTTCCTTTTCGCTCACAGAATACGAATTTTGGTGCTGTTTGCCAGCTCAGTTGTGTTGTGTGAATGCACATGAACTCCATGGCCCTGGATCTTCCTGCATTTTCAGTGCTCACCCTTCAGTGCTGTGCCAGTAAAAATAACTGTGGCACTCGTGCCTGGGGACTTGTTTGAGCTGCCCTCTCCCTGCAGCACCAGATTAGTTCTTTGCTCTCCTGTCTTGTACCTCCTCTGTAATTTGCTGCACCTAAACTTTGCAAATTAGGCACCAAATTTATTTTAAAATTCTTTTTCCTGGCTCAGTGGGAGTCCCAGCTTTTAAAACCAGCTCTAAGGAGCAGTAGACATTTACCCTGACCGACCCTTCTGGTTTTTGAAATTCATTTAGCATTTTGAAAGAAAATGAGACTGTTCTGATGCTTTCCAAGGGTAAGAGTTCACTGTGGGATTTATGGACCGAGCTCAGCACTCTGAAAGCAGAGATCAATTGTACTAAATTTGAAATCAGCTGTAGCCAGTGGCCTGTTTTCCCAGAGTGCAGGAAGCTTTGCAGAGGTCAAACCAAACAGAGAGTGGTGTGACCTTTTGGTTCCACCTTGAAGAAGGACCAGGAGGGTGAAGGACCTTTTGATATTTAAGTTTCCTTATTAGTTTTGGTCAATATGTATTGGAGTGGTTTTGACCTGATCTCAGAGGAGGCCCCAGGTCTGGTTTGTCATCAATCTGTGTTACATTCCCAGACTTGGCTTTGATGTTCCCCTCTGAAGGTGGATGATCACGTGGGTGCTTATCTCCATTAGGAATTGTGATGGATAGTCGGGATCCCTCGGAGTAGCTGCTTTTTGTAGTCAATTCCTGGGTGAATTCCTGTGGGGAAAGGTGCAGTTTCCAGCATAGCTACAAGAGGTGTTGCCACTCTTAAGACTGAATTATAAAGTAGAACCATTTTGGGCTGCCAAGGGGGAAGTTCCTTCTTAAAGGCTTGCTCTTCCTTCCTTCCCCTGCTCCCAAATGTGGGTGTACTTGATCATCTTCCTTGCAAGGGCAGGAGTGGGAGTGTCTTGTGAGATTCCTCCTGGCCCCAGGATTGTTTTGCTGCCCTAATTTGGCTCCTGTCACTGCAGTCCATGATAATGGTGTGCCAGGTCAGTGAAACACTTTAAATTAATGGATTGAGCAGGGATTCAGTCTGAAATGAACTCAGTGTGTGCTTTGGTTTCTCTCTGCTTTTATGACTCCCTTAGATGAGGTTTTCTGTTGGCTGAGGGTTTTCCCACATTACTCTTTCCAGAAGGACATTTTGGAGAGCAGGATTTAAATCTCAGTGTCTCCTACCTCCAGACAGAGGTTGTTTAATGGAACTGTTTTTACTTATAAGTGTCCATATTTTGATCCATCAGTGTGTTTTACATGTTGGGGTTTTTTTTTAAAACTTCCTTTCAGAATGTGCAGCTGAAGTGGGATTTGTGGAGAGCTTTAAAGGCTCATTATTTAAAAATAAATTGAAGGGCTTCTTCTGAGAGTCTCTCTTCATGTGTAATTCAGTGAGAGTTCAGCCTGAGAAAAGGTTGGACCCCAAGTATTCATAACTTCTCACAAAAACAAGAGCGGTGTGAAGGCAATGTGTGAAGCTGTGCTGCTAATTGCTTCCACATTTTAATATGGATTGTTGATTTGCATTAAGCAGGAAAAGAGAGGTTACACTGACCTTACCAGAGGAGAACCTGAAAGCAGGGAATGCAGGCTGGGGGTGGGAACAGAAAGAGGGGAGAAGAAAAAACCTTAATGTTGCCTGAAGGGGGTGAAATTATAACAGAGACTTTGCCACTTGGAGAGGAGGCTCCAAACCAAAGGGAATGGCAAACCCCAGAGGGTTTCTCCAGGTGATGTGATGGCCTTGATAAATAAAGGAAATATTGGATTGAACTCCCTCTTAAATGCTCTGATGAAACATTTTCTGTCTCTCCTCCAAAAAAAAAAAAACAATTTGGTGCTGCCCAGAGTATCAGGGAAAGGGTCGTGCTTCCAGCTAGTTGTGTTTCCAGGAGTGGCCACCAAAGCTGAAGAAAGCAGGAGATGTGCCAGAACATTTTCATGGGCAGATGGGAAACGTTTGGAGCAGGAAAATTAGGAAATCGGGTTCCTGCCGGATGCCAAAATCCCGAATTGATTTTCTGGAAAGCTGCACGTCAGGTTTTTTGGTCCTGGTTAAGAAGGGTGGGTGTTGGGGCACGTTTTGGAGCTTCAGTTAAATTCTCACTTTGGTGAGAGTCTCGAAATATTCCCTGATTTGAGATTATCTCATTTCAAAATATTCCCTGATTTTAGATCACCTCCTCTCCAAATATTCCCTGATTTTAGATCACCTCCTCTCCAAATATTCCCTGATTTTAGATCACCTCCTCTCCAAATATTCCCTGATTTTAGATCACCTCCTCTCCAAATATTCCCTGATTTTAGATCCCCTCCTCTCCAAATACTCCCTGATTTTAGATCCCCTCCTCTCCAAATATTCCCTGGAGGTTTAGAACTTGCACTTCCCTTCAGCCAGAGGAGCAACCAGAGGCTGAGGGGCTTGGCTTTGGTTACAGTCTCTCAGAGTTCCTCCTAAAGTGAGTGTGGGAAAGGGCTGATCTCAGCTGCAGGCACAGCCCGACCGACCCCTTTGCCGTGTCGCTGCAGGTGAAGGAGAACCTGCTCTCCTGCAAGATGCTGCTGCACTGCAAGAGGGACGAGCTGCGCAAGCTGTGGATCGAGGGCATCGAGCACAAGCACGTCCTGAACCTGCTGGACGAGATCGAGAACATCAAGCAGGTCCCTCAGAAGCTGGAGCAGTGCATGGCCGGCAAGCGCTACCTCAACGCCACCGACATGCTGGTGAGATGGGGTCCTCAGGGCCCGGGGGAAAGAGCTTCCCCCCTCCCCACCCCCCCCCTTTTGGGTAAAGGAAAGAAAGGAGGGGGAAAAAAAACCCCAAAGAACCGAGAAGAACAGAATCAAAGCGGTTGATGCCTGATAGGAGGTGAGAAAAAAAAACTCGGGAGCAGTTAATTGAGGATGAGATGAGACAAGGGTTTAATTTTGTTACAGATGACACCAAGCTGGGGGGGGAGTGTCGGTCAGCTGGAAGAAAGGAGGGCTCTGCAGGGGGACCTGGATAGGATGGAGAGTTGGGCTGATTCCAGTGGGATGAGGTTCCCCAAGGCCAAGGGCCGGGTCCTGCCCTTTGGCCACCAGAAACCCCTGCAGCTGCAGGCTGGGCCAGAGGGGCTGGAGAGCAGCCAGGCAGGAAGGGAGCTGGAAGTGGGGATTGAAAAGAAGCTGAACATGAGCCAGAGTGTGCCCAGGGGGCCAAGAAGGCCAATGGATCCTGGCCTGGCTCAGGAACATTGTGGCCAACAGGTCCAAGGAAGTGATTCCTCCCTTGTACTCAGCGCTGGGGAGGCCACCCCTGGAGTGCTGTGTCCAGCTCTGGGCCCTGAGCTCAGGAAGGACATTGAGGTGCTGGAGCAGGGGCAGAGAAGAGCAACAAGGCTGGGGAAGGGACTGGAGCACAAGTCCTATGAGGAGAGGCTGAGGGAGCTGGGGGGGCTCAGCCTGGAGAGGAGGAGGCTCAGGGGAGACCTCCTCACTCTCTGCAACTCCCTGCCAGGAGGGGGGAACCGGGGGGGGTTGGTCTCTTTTCCCAGGCAGAGATCAGCAAGACAAGAGGGCTCGGTCTCAAGTTGTGCCAGGGGAGGTTTAGGTTGGATATTAAGAAGAA